GTTAGCGGGGGAGGGGGGAAACCCAGTGTCAGAGTGAGGACTCGCTCTCATGTCTTTTGTAGGCGCCTGGTCTCTGGCTGGGGTCTTGCACAACTCGCATGTCCTGTAGTGCCAACCCCAAGATTTCAAAACCCAGGAATCGCCCCCCCTCCCCACAAATAAAAGGAGCTTAGCTCCTTGAAAACCCAGCTTAAAATACACTTGGGGGGGGAGGGGGGAAACCCAGTGTCAGAGTGAGGACTCGCTCTCATGTCTTTTGTAGGCGCCTGGTCTCTGGCTGGGGTCTTGCACAACTCGCATGTCCTGTAGTGCCAACCCCAAGATTTCAAAACCCAGGAATCGCCCCCCCTCCCCACAAATAAAAGGAGCTTAGCTCCTTGAAAACCCAGCTTAAAATACACTTGGGGATCTAGATATTTGGCCTTGGGCGTTTGAGGTCTTTGGCTGAACTCGGGGCACGTTTTCTAGCTTTTCTCCTCAGGCCATGAGACCGAAGGTCTGTCTTGAAAACAGGAAAGGAAGCAGGCGGCCAGAGTTCAAGCCAAGCCGGCTTCGACAGAGCGGTCACAGTTTGATAGAGGCGGCAGGTGGTGAAGTTCCCAGATCCGGCTTAAGTCTACCCACGTGGCCGAGGCTTCCCAAAAAACAAGCCTGGATGCTCTGGGTCCCACGCCTCATATCAGGAGCGCTGGCCTCCCTGAGATCCCGTCAATTTCACAAAGCACGGCCCTCGTTTCTCGGCTGACACCTATGGGCCAGGCTCTGCACACGCCTCCCCCGGGCCACCGGGACTTCCGGCTGGTGCTGGCAGCAGCGTGGCGTGAGCAGCTGGAAGCCCCGTTAGCCTGTCGGGGTGGTAGCAGGGCCCCTCCCTCCCAGGCTGGTTATAAATTGGTGGCAGGCGGGGCCGGGGACACACACACGGGGGGGGGGGGGGGGAAGGGCCCGCGGGGGGGGGCGCCCTACAGGGCATCTTAGCTCAGTACTGATCTCCCCCTGCCCACCTGATGTCCCATTCAGTGGCCCGTGTGACACGAATTTGCCAGGTCTCAGCATCGTCACGTGAGCCAGCCCCAGCCTGGGGCTCAATGGGCCGCTGGCCCCCTCTCCTCCGCTCCCCACGGGGCAGGCCGGGCTGACACACGGTTACCCCGTGTGACCTGGCCCCCAGTCCCAGGGCACCTGGCCTTGG